AACATTGCATGTTTTAAAATCAGGAAAGGTGTGTATCAGTGTTGTAGTCCTTCTCCATACTCACGGTGGTAAGAAGCTGCGCTGAAACCCCAAAAGGATTTACAGTTCGAATTCACCAGCTGCTTCACAAAGAAGGACAGGCAATCTCCTCCTGTGCAATTACTGCCTCTGAAAACTTGCTGGAGGGTCAGCTATGGGTCTGTTCTGACTCAGCACCTCAAAACAACAACAATATTCAATCAGTATGCTGAGCAAATCATTCAAGAATCTGGACTCTATGAGAAGAATATGGCAACAAAATTGGAGAAAGGCTCATTAACAACCTACAATTATGCAGCTGACACAATCTTGCTTGCAGAAAGTAAAGACAACTTGAAGTACTTGGGGGAAAAAAGTAAAGACCACAACCTTCAATATGGGTTACATATCAACATCAAGGAAACAAAAAGCTTTCACCACTATACCAATAAGTAACAAGATAGATGGAGAAAGATTGATGTTATTAATGATTTCATTTTCTTTGGATGCATAGTCAACATCCATAGTAACAGCAGTAAAGAAATAAAGATGTGCTTCACTAAAGAAATCTAAGGACAAGGCCCTCTCTAAAGTGCAACAATGTCAACTTAAAGACTAAGGTACACCTGAGACAAACCATGCTCTTTTCAATTGCTTCCTATGCATCTGAAAGATGGACAATGAATAAGGATGACAGAAGAACAAATGCCTTTGAATTGTGGTGTTGGTGAAGAGTATTGAATACCCCATGAACTGACAAAAGAAGAAACAAATCTGACTTGAAGAAAGTGTAACTAGAAGGCTCCTTAGAGGCAGATATGGTGAAAATTTGTCTTGGATACTTTAACCATGTTATCAAAAGTAATCAATCCTTAGAAAAAGATATCATTCTTGGTAAAGCATAGGGTCAACGAACAAGAGCATGACCCTCAGATAGATGTTGTAACAACGGGCTTGAGCAGGGCTGCTATGATGCGGATGGCACAGCATAGGTCAGGGTTCTGATCTCTTCTATGTAGGGTCCCTATGAGTCACAGTCGACTGGATGGCACCTAACAATAACTCTTTAAAACTATTGATAAAAGGGAACTCTGGCGGTCTTGTGCTGCACTGCAATTCTGAAGGGTTTGAATCCACCAGATTCCCTGCTGGAGAAGGAGGGACAATCTCTTCCTGTACCCATCAGCTCCCACTCGATGGCACACAATAGCAACAACAAAAAATAAATAAAAATGGTGATACACAGAAACAAAGAAAGTTTCAGTAATTAGTAAGTCAAATGCCACCGAAAAATGACAGTGTTTGCTTATGCCTCTCAATTCTTACTGTAAAACGAGCTCATCAGATGTAGTCAATACAGAGTAAGTAACCAGCTGCTGTCTGATTTATGGTGACTCCACATGATAGAGTAGAACTATTTCACAGAGGTTTTGTGCCTGGAATCTAAATTTTCTGAAAGTAGATTGTAAAGGCTTTCTACCGTGGAACTATTGTTCTTAAATTCACTCCAAGCTAATTTAGTGAGAACTTTTTTATTATAACACATTAGAATTCATCAATGTAAGTGTCCTAAAAAATGTGTGTTAGAAAGCTCTCTGGTGGCCTGGTCTATAGAGATTTGAACTGCTAACCGCAAAGCAAAGGCACTCTGCCAGTTCAAATGCACTAGGGGCTCTAAAGGGAAAAGATGGGAAATCTCCTCTTGCGCAATTTACAGTCTTCAAAAAGACTCCTGGAGGGTCAGTTATGAGTCACTTCTGACCAGACAGCAGTGAATGTAGAAGTGAGTCTTACATTTCTTACATTTCTTTCTTTTGTGTACAGTCCTACACTCTGATATTGAGTATACATATGTTTATCACCAGAATTCTTTTTAAGTCATTTAAAAGAAAACATAAATGCACACACATGTTTATCATGGCTTTGTTCACAATAGCAGAGTTAGAAACAACCTAAGTGCCCATCAACAAACGAATGGATAGAGAAGTTGTGGTATAGTCACACAATGGAATACTACGCTGCTTTGAAAAACAAGGAACTCATGCAATATGATACAAAATGGGTGACCCTGCAGGACATTATGCTGTGTGAAATATCTCTGTCACAAAAGGACAAATACTGCACAGTGCCACTGTTGTAAAACAGGACTGACATCTGGGTTTGGGGGAGAATTATGTATACTGCATTGAAACAGATGAGGGAGAAATCTGTTGAAAAGGGATATATGATTAGGTATTGTTGTCATGACAAAAGTTCAGAACGAAGGCTGCATAGTGGAGTGGACTTGGGGGGAGGGATTGTATAACAACGAAAGAATTTTTCTTTTACTTTTCAAATCGAAGGCTGCATAGTGGAGTGGATTTGGTGGGAGAGTGGGAATTGTGTAACAATGAAAGAATTTTTCTTTTATTTTTCAAAGAGAAGAGAGAACTGAGGAGGAGATTGGGCAGGGAGAAAAGTGCAACAATGAATGAATGGAAATCCAAAGTCTCTGTAGACTTTCAATAAAATTAATAAAAAATAAAGAAGAAGATAAAAATAATTCAGACTATAATCAGGACACATATAATACTTTTGCTGAAGAATTAATTTAATAACTACTCAACAACAATTATCTCCAACTGATTCATATGCACAGCTTTTATAATGGAGATGACTGTATTTGGAGGGTAGTTTAGAAAAAAAAAGGGTAGAGGGGGAACCTAGTAGTCAATTATGTCTTCATTTTATTGTCTTGGTAACTAAGGCAACTAGATAAACTGTTTTCTTTTCTTGTCCAATCCTGTCATGGCGAGCAAATTTTCAAATGAGAAAGCAGATGTGCCAAGGGTATAATTAATCTCCCTGAAAATAGCCCATTAAAACCATGTCAGTGGACATAAAGATAAAAAGGAATCCAAACAAAAGAATGAGAAAAATATAAACCTAGAGCCAGAACATATTACATATTTGGTTCCCTTTATACAGTAATATGAAAGACTTTGCAAAGGACCAAAAAAATCTCTACAACTGGAATCTAAGAAGGCAGAGGCCAGTGTCGTTTCCTCAAAAACCAGTCAGAGTGGGAAAATTTTCCTTCAGCCAAAATTCTAATACAAAGGACTAAAACTTCTGCTGTTGAAAGTCCCAAAGTGAAAAAGAATCTGACTTCACCGGATGTATCTGCTAGATGGAGTCTTTTTGCTGTGGCCAGGCATAAATGGGAGCAATCCATTCTATTCTAAGTAGCCCAATCAAGAAAACAATCCTTTGGAACAACTATGCTCAGCTAACATTACAGAGCTGTATTACCTCACAGCACATCACAAACCACTCAGGAGTATGCAGCAGCTTTCTAGCCAGGCCAATTATAATCAACAAGATGCATTCCACCACTGTCTGCCAAGTGGAAATTTAAATAGAGATAGATTGCTCTGGGTTGAGTTAGATATTTGGCTAGTTTCAAGTCAGCAAGACATGATGCAATTGGAAATGTTAGCAATTTTTATAAGGCTGTGAGAGAAGAAAAAAGATAAAGTAACTTTTCTGCCTTTAAAAAAAAACAAAACAACAAAAATCAACCAACTCTCCACATTACCCAGAACAGATACTAGTTGGAGAAAATGTCAAATAAATCAATCAGCAACTAAAAGAGAAATCAACTCTAATTTGAGTATTAATACATAAAATAAGCAAAATTATTTTCTAGATTGGGCTGAACGTCAAATTAAAAATAAAATGTCTAAGCTGGAAAAAATAGTCACTCTCAGGTAATCTTAAGAAACGTTTTACATAAGCAGAGGAAAAAAATAGTTTCATTAGAGATCCTTTTACAGATTAGAAAAATTAAGTTACAGGTTTCGTTTCTATCACCAAAAAAATAAAGTATGTTCACTCTCCTCCTCTACTAAGAATAAGGAGATTGTTGTTGTTGTTGTTGTTGTTGTTGTTACTATGTGCCCCCAAGTCAAGCACAACTCATAGAGACCCTATGAACAATAAACCTGAAACTTGTGCTAACCTGTTCCATCCTCATCATTTCTGAGACATTAGAGCCAACTGCAATGTCAATCCATCTCATTGGGAGCTTCCTCTCCTTCGCTGACCATCCATCGTTCCAAGCATGATGTCACTGTTCAAGGAATAGTCTTGCCTAGCTATGTGTCCAAAATATGAAAGACAAAGCTTCGTCATCCTTGCCTCTAAGGAGCATTCTGCCCCATTTCCTGGACACATCTGCTTGCTCTTTGGGCCGTCCATGGGATGTGTAGTACTCTTTTCCAGCACCAACTCAAAGGCATCAATCCTTCTTCTGTCATCATTAGTCCTTTTCCCGCTCTTTGATGTGTAGCAGTTTATTGAGAAGACCATGATGGCCTGAATCAGGCACAACTTAGTCTTCAAACTGACATCATTGCTCTTCAGTATTTTGGACAGCAGACTTGCCCAAAGCAATGTTTCTCCTGATTATTTGACTGCTAGTACCATGGGTGTGAATTGTTGATCCAAGCAAGATGAAATCATTAACAGCATCAATCTTTTCTCCATCTATCATAATGTTGACTGTTGCGCCTATGGTGAGGATCTTGACGCTGAGATGTCATGTGTACCAAAAGCTGTAGTCCTTGATTTTCTGCAGAGGCATTTCAGAGCCTTCTCATTTGGAAAAAAGAAAATTGAAACAAACTTAAAAAGAGAAAAGAAAATGAACACAAGACTCAATGTACCAAAAATAGTCACTGCAGAAAATCATGGCATGTATGTATCTGATTCTTTCCATTGCATATAGCAAAGCACTCTTCAAGTATATCCTCTTTCCTTTTCCTATTTAAAAATGTATACTGCACCCCTTCTTCTTTCCACCGTCTTCCCGTACCTCCACAATGATGTGCATGAATATCCTGGGTGACACTCTTCAAGAGTGTCAACAAGCCAAGAAGAGAGGCAGGAGGTTCTTATCCAGCCATGATGAAAAGGTCATAGTTTGGTTCCTAACAGTGATCATGAAGCATGGCTACACTGATGAACTTGAAATCTTGTCAGCCTCACAGGTAGGTTAAAGAAGTGTGGCCTGATCAGCCTCAGATTTGATGTGCAGTTCAAAGATCTAGAAAAGTAATAGATTAATCCGCTCCCATCCCCTCAATTTGGTTTCACTGTACTGACAACCTCAGCTGGCATCATGGACCACAATGAAGCAAGATGAAAACACACAGGAGGGAAAATCCTGGGATTCTTTTTCTAGGCATATAATACATAGCGCAAATAAACTGGGGGGAAGGGTAATGTATATTGCATCTTCCTCTGCATAGCCCCTCCTCTTTTCACTTCCCTGCCCTCACTGAACAACTTGATCCATAAGTTACTAGGTTACATAAGTTACTTGAGGCTGATCGAGGCAGGCATCTGTGTGGCTGTATAGAGGCTGGAGGTAGGACAAGAGGCAGTTGTGGTAGCTCAGGATACAGTATGTTAGAGCCTGCATAGAACGAGAAGATAAGAGATTGGAGCAACACCGATAGCCCAGTGTTGAGACTCAGAATCCAAGTTAGTGAGGAAAAAGTCAGCCTGAGGGAGCCTGAAGCACCATGGCCGCTGACGGATAAGGAGAACCTAAGCAGGGTGAAAACTCTGCTTAAGGAGGCAGAGAACGAGGATGGGATTTGAACTCACGCGTGTAGAGCACAATGGATTAGCAGTCCATTGCCTTAACCACTCAGCCACCTCATTTGGAAGCAGGAGTGGCATCCACTTCCTAAACAACATCCCTCCGGAAACTCTAAAAACTTTGATAAATGTCGATAGTTGTAGAGGGGCTTCAGGTCTTTTGTTCATAGGGTCGCTATGAGTCATGCTCGACTCAGAAGCAATCAACAACAACAACAAGCAGGGTGAGGAAAGCATCTGGCAGCAGGTGGAGTAATGGTGGTAATGAGAGAGAGTGTACATGCATACAGACGGTTCACTTGTTTATTTAACTATACTAAGGATAGAGGGAAGCAGGATTCTTTCTGTTGGAGAGGGAAGGAACTAATAAGGAAAACTACCTGCCATCCACTGTGGAAGACAGTGTGTTCTTATGGTGGTGGGAGCTATGCCACTGTTCTTTCAAATATCAACAGGGTGATTCATAGTAGGCTTTGCTTTCAGCAGTTTGCAAACTAAGAGAGACTAGGAAGAGAGGAGTCTGATTGAAAGCCGACGGAACGCTACCAAACATTTCCCAGTCTGCTGAGAGATGATTCCTGTAGGAACGAAAACAAAAGACTGGCATGCTGGCAAATTGTGAGGATGGTGTGGAACAGGGCACCATTTCATTTCCTTATACATGCAGTCAGTCAGACAAAACTCAATGGCTACTGACAATATGGAGAAGATCTATCAGGATGATTCATGATTTTAACACTTGTGAAGTACTGGTGGCATAGTGCATAGTACATCTCACTACTAACCAAAAGGCCTGAGGTTCAAATCCACCAGCTGCTCCAAGAGACAAAGATAGGAAATCTCCTTCTGTTAAGATTTACAGCCTCAGAAACCTGAAGGAGGTTGTCGCAAGTCAAACCCAACCTAACTGCACTGGGTACAAGGAGCCCTGGTGCTTGTTGAATATTGGTTTTCTAACCAAAAAGTCAGAAATTCCAAACCACTCACCCCTCTGGAGGAGAAAGATTAGGTCATCTGCTCCTATAAAAATCTTTAATCTTGGAAACATGACAGAAGACTGTCATAAGCCAGAATTGAGTGGATGACAGTGGGTTTGGAGTTTCTTATTTTCTCTTTGTGTACAACAGCATGCTACTGGCTAACAAAAAATCCAAGAGTTCAAATGCACATCCACTTTGCATGAAATGCAAATAAGAGAGTGCTTTCTCATAAAGATATACAATTTTAAATGAATCCCTATGGACAGTTCTGTTTTACCCTAAAGGGTTGCTAAGTTGGGATCAACTCAATTGAGTGAGTGTTCACTATATATGTATTCAGAAAATCAAAAGACTAATTTCATTAAGAAAATCTGCCATCAGAGACTTCTTCAGAGTGCAATGATGTCAGTCTAGAGACTAAGGTGCACTTAATCCAGGCCATGCTCTTTGCAGTTGCTCACTATGCATCAGAGAGCGGACAATGGCTAAAGATGACAGATGAAGAATCTATGCCTTTGAGTCATGGTGATGGAGAAAAGTCTTGAATATACCATGGATATTCAAGATATCCAAGATAACAGATTTGTCCTGGAGAGGGTGAAACTTTAGAGACAAGGATTTTGAAGCTCCATCGGACATACTTTGGGCACACTTCCAGGAGGGACTAGTCCTTGGAGAAGGACATCATGTTTTGAAGGGTAGAGGGACAGCACAGGAGAAGAAAGCCCTGGCTGAGATGGATTGACACAGTAACTAGGGTAATAGGGGTAGGTGTATCAGAGACGATGAGACTGACTCAAGACAGGACAAGGTTCAGAGCTACTCTGCATAGGGTCACCATGATCTGCAAGTTACTTGATGGCACATTATATATGCAACAGTTATATATATATATAACTAGCAGTAAAAAACTGCTCTACAATTTCAAAGACACATAATTTAAATCCACTAACTGCTCCTCAGAAGAAAGATGGGCAACTCCACCTGTGAAATTTACTACCTCTAAATACTCATTGCAGAGTCAGCTATGTGTTAGTTTTTACTTGACAGCAAGCAACAACGTACACACACACACATATCATAGCAATAATATATATCATGTCAATGATATATATCACATCAATTATATATGTATA